CCGGTACGATGGTCAGATCTGGATGGGTCCCCTATCCAATTGGTCCAACCAGCCGGTCTGGTTGGTCTTAATTTCACTAATAATGGCCATTGGTCACGATAGTGGGTGTACTGGTCCATTAGGCAGGCCACATGCATGGATAAAGCTGGTTGGCAGGTGGTCCACAAATTTTAAATTCAAGCCATGTAACTGAACCAAGGTCTATATGAATTATAAACTCCAGTTGTAGACCCTTGAGGGGCATATGGTATTGCATACTTACAATTGTATAAAGCAATAATATCAGGCCAAACCCATCAACCGTTTATAGTCCCTTTGTGTGTGTCATGGTGCATGTGAGTAGGCTAAAGTTGACCCCTAAATATCTAGAAATAGGAATCAAGGCTACACAAAGATGACCAGAAGGCTAGCATTGTCAACAGCTAGGGCATCATGAAGGCATATGAATACTGAGGAATACATCACATGACCAAGCTATTTGTACTGCTCAGTAAATTCATTTCTGGAAAACATGGATTAGATCCCTGCCTAGGCAAGGCAGGCCCAGGGGCAAAAATGCCCCTCCCCCTTTCAAAAATTAAGGGAGGAAAGGCGGGAGGGTTGAGGTTCTTATGTAACCTAAACCCATTTTTGACATATGCATACTGAGGAATACATCACATGACCAAGCTATTTGGACTGCTCAGTAAGTGCATTTCTAGAAAACATGGATTAGTTCCCTGCCTAGGCGAGGCAGGCCCAGGGGCAAAAATGCCCCTCCCCCTTTCAAAAATTAAGGGAGGAAAGGGGCAGGGTTAAGGTTCTTATGTAACCTAAGCCCCATTTTAAACATATTAGAGTGAGATAAACATCAAAAAAACTAAATTTTGCCATTTACATAGGATCGACGGGTTTTTCAAAATTTTGAAAAATCAATTCAAACATCATCCTTTTAGAGGATTGTTACAAAGCATTTGAGATCAGGAAACATCTCAAAGGTGAAAGGTTGAAGATCGAGCAATCAAAGTTAGTGAAAAGACTACGCATTTCTTTCCTTTTCATGATGATGAGTTGATGATTGAATTTGAAAATTTTGAATGTTGGATTATATTTTCCTATTTTGCTTATGCATTATTAACTAATTGTCCAAATCTCAAATACTTTGGACCTCACCTTAATATGCATTTTTTTACTGTGTATGGATTATGGAGTATTGTGACTATGGACTAATGGTATGAAGTGTATGGACAATGGACAATATGTTATGCATTCTTAATGTGTTATGCCTCAATATGCATTTTTTAGTTTTTACAAAGAATTTCGGCCTAAAAAAGTTCAATCAGAATTACAAAGTATTTCGGCCTAAAAAAGTTCAATCAGAAACCTCCTATTCTTCTAAGCCACCTAGAAACTTGGGCAGCCAGGACCCCTCAGCGGCCTAGGCGCTACCTGACATTTTTTGGAACACTGCTCACATAAACAAGCCATATCATACTATATGTACATCAATTTTACTTTGTGATGGCAGATTCTTGAGTCCTTGGATATTAGAAAAGAAGTGTCTAAAAGGAAGGCTGGATCTGCTTATAGCTGCCTCGTGATTCATACAATTGGTGGCTTTGGGTTTGCTAAGCATTAAAAGATCATTTCAGGGTCTAGAGTTTATTCTCAATGATTCATTTTTGAAACTTTGTGCATTTAAATAGATGAAAATAGCACATAAAGGTACCTTTGGGAAACTATCAAAAAACACCTACATGCTCTTTGAGCAATTTGCTATGTTTGCTAAGATTTGTACAAGGTTTGTAAAGTCACAACTTTCCATTAATTAGTGTTAGAATTCGATGCAAACCTTCTATTTCACTAAGGTGATCCCCATTATCTTGAGGTTGTGACCATAGTTATCGGGAACGGGAGCGACAAGAGATCCGGGATAGGGAGCAGAAGCGCTGAGCAAGGTAGGCTCAAAGATCCGTGGTTGGGGGAACGAGGTCCGTACATGGTCAAGTTAAGGGATCAAGATCCCTAACTTTTAGGGAGCACGTTCTATATCTTCACAAGAGCAGACTCTTTACTAAATGGCATCGCTTTCCTCCATCATAAGGATCGAGGTTCCCGAAGTTCACTTATCAACTATATTGTAACTTGGGAGCGAATTCCATTGAACAATATTTTTAACTTTTTCAAATTCACAAACCCAGTATCAATGTAAACAAAACTCATATCATTGACATTCTGTTGTCATTGGAGTATGATCTTACACAATGATAATAAAAATCCAATATGGTGATGTCATATACTCATATCTAAGTCCTCAATCCCATGTTAACACTGGGAATGGGAGTGATAAAAGCAGTTACTTAAGCAAGAATCACTACATTGGTCTGCCTACAATGCACACGTCCACATTTTTGGCACAAATCAGTTGGATTGGGCAAATCAGATAGTTTTTTTTTTTGATAGATAGTTTCCAAAAAAGAAATGTCAAAATAGTTAAGTTCTCCTTTGCAAAGTAAGAAAAATGAAAGGCATTGTCAGATATAATTCCCAATAGCTCTCCTCTATCAAATATTGCTAGGGGTTCAAAGACATGCACATGAGAGAGACCTCACATTTCCACGCACACATGTCATTCCTTCGCGATAAGGCAATCTCATGAGTGGCTCGATTTGGTTGACCAACACCGAGTGATAAAAGTCTTTCAGGAGGTAGACAAGACCCAATGAACTAGCTCCAAGGAAGTTAAACATATTGACATTCTTCAATCAAACCCTAACACGACTAACTTTTGTATCTCCTTCCATCTTCTTGCTTCTCTCCTTGTCCAGTATTTTGTTACCTTTTTTATAAACTAGACAATTGTGAATTATAAAATATGTGGGAAATCATGGAGCTCATAAAGTTTGTATGCAATGTTCAATAAGTCGAAGGCGGCCGCCTAGGCGGTGGGGGGGTTGAGCCTCCTAGGCGCTAAGACGGCCTCCTAGGCGAGCGCCCAGACCCAAAAACAGCCAGTGATTTTTTAAAAAAAAAAAATTTCGATCCCCCACACCTCCCCCCAATTTAGTATAAGTTTTGTATGTAATATATTGTTAAGATGACGGAAGCACATATCAAACCTAAACATTTACAATTTTAGACTGTAAATGAAATAATTACTCAAAATTAGACAAAAAAAAAACAAGGTCAAACTTGAAAAAATTAGAAATGGTTGTCTAAAAATTACAAATAAGAAGTGACATTGACCCTTTAATATATTGGCTTCTTATTAAGCCAAACAATAAATCTAGGTAAAACATGCACATCAAAATTGCAATCATATAATACAAAATCAAAAAAGAATATCACAAATGCAATTATTTAGTAAGCATTAAGCAAATATTAAACTAACTATTAAAATAATTATGCTATATGAATCATACATCGAGAAAACACATTACACATACAATTATTTAACAAGCAATTAAGAATCAAGCAATTATTAAACTATCTAATAAAATAATAACCCAAATAGACAATAACATATCAAATATATATCACAAAGTATCAAATAAAAAATATAAATAGCAAAAAATAACATCATTAGACATCAAGGGAAAAAATACAAAACCTAATGAAAACTTTTGAAATATACCAACCTTCTTGAAGTGAACTCGATTTCGGGCCAAACCGAAATGTTTGGAATCCCAAATCTCCTTTTTTACAACCCTTATAAGCCTCAAGAAGATTGGGGTTGAATATCCTTTAATATCGTGATCATTCGAGGATTTAAAAAAAAATTCAATCTCTCAAAAAATCTTCAAATCTAGTTTTTTTCAAGTTGTTTCTCACTTTAAAGTTCACTACAATTGTTTTTAGGGGCAAGAATGGGCCCCCAAACCCTTATCCCCCCCTTTTAAATGGGTAAAATGACATTTTTTGCCCCCACCTAAAAACTTTTTCCGTCAAACTCCTGTAGGCCGCCTAAGCGGGCGTCTAGTTCTGGCACCTAATAGTGACCGCCTTAAGAACGCCTAGGTGTTTTCTCCAGAAAGCCGCCTAGACGGTTGGACAAACGACTTTTTGATCATTGTTTGTAGGTCATAAAAAATTGGAGGTCCAAACTCGATTGTATATGAACCAAAAAAATGTGTCGATGAAACTCGCTCCCAATTTGAGAATACTCGAGTCCAAGTTGGTGGAACCTCGGTTCCGGTTACTCATGGAACCATGATCTTTGGCATAGGGATCTATATCTCATTTGATGGGATCGAGTTCCCCGATTTCCCGAATTAAGCTCCCAAATATCAAGGAATCGCTCAAAATCGAGATCCTATATCTCGGAGCGCAAGATCGAGCTTCCAGAGGGGAAATGATCTCCCCCTTAGAAGATCCTGGTAACTATGGTTATGACGAATGCCCATATCCTGCAGCCAAGGCAACTGGTTTTAGATAGTCCCTCCTAGAACATGGTGATGTCATCATGTTTAGCAAAGATCCAACTTTGCAAGAGGGACTCCACTATAGCAGAGGCAGCAGATCCTTTGTCAAATGAAATGCATCTAACCTGAAAACATTAAAATCTTGAGTTCTGATCTAACATGTTAAGAGGGTTCAAAGATCGTAATACTTTGACTGGAATTCATCTCTCATGTTCCTTTAACCATTTGATACATACTATTTCATTTTCGAGTTTTTAATCTGACAAAGACATCTAGAGATCAAGAAGTTCGCAAAACGGTAAGAAAAAACAATAATGAGGTTTGACTTTAGACAATATTAGGATCAAGAAGGGGAATAGAATATCAAGCATAGAAATGAATTACATTGTAATGTAATATTGTTTGACCAAAAGTATTATATGTTTTAATATCAAAATTGCTATTTGTCTAGTAATTTCATTATCAGATAATGACATAACTGAATATACTCTTCTGTTTAAAAAAAAAAACATATTAAACAGTAAATCTACAGAATAATTGGGCTACCACTTACGCAGCCTCCTTAACTAAATGGAAAAAGCAGAGCTCCACAGTACTCACACTTCACGGATGGAATTAAAGTAAATTGCTTTGTCATTCAGCACAAGAGACAAAAAAGACATCATGGCGTATACCTGTTATAACAAGAAGAAACAAAAAGTAAATGAAGAGGTATAACGTGCAAAAAATATATATCAAAGGTTGGAGAACAAAGAGATTTAGAACATCGAAGTATCTCACCAACTCTTCAAGCAAACAGACAGAGTGATTATCAACTTTTGCAACATAATCAAATAATGCACATGGATGCAAGCAAACACATGAAAATGTGCTTTGACGATATTTCAAACAATATATATCAAAGGTAGTGCATGTGCATGTGCATGTGCATGTGCATGTGCATGTGCATGTGCATGTGTGAATAAAATAGCTCACAACAACAATTAAAATGATAGACGATATTTCAAAAAGTATCCAAATGACCAGAAAAGTTGTGCCATGCAGCGATATCCAGTTAATGCCTACCTCCGATAAAAAGTGAATCACATTAAAGAACATATATGCACCAATGCAAACATGCTTGCCATGCTTATTTCAGTAGTATTAAGCTAGGGACCTGAAGACTCAATAAATCGCTAGAGAAAATTAAGAGTTTCATAATGAATTCTGAATCACACAGTTCTCCAAGTTGCTTAGCAATTAATAGATCATGGGAAAAGTACATTATACAATGATAATAACACCCCAAAAAAAAATTCCAGGAACCAGAATTTTTATATCTAACAACCTAAGGAAATCAACAATAGATTACAAGATGGAGTGGGAGTAGAAGCACATTGTGGGTGTGGGTGGAAACATTTTCCACAAGGAAAAATCTAAACACGAGAAAGGAATCATTGCTTTCAATGAAGAATCAGTGTCAATTTCGATAAGGGATCACTATCATTGCTTTTAATATATGGTTCTAACAACTAAATCCATTTAAGGGGCCTCAAAATGCCGACAAGCGGCGAACCGTAACAAAATCAATGGAACCAATGTGAAGACAAACAGACTTTATTTTTCTGAATCCCAACAATAGCAACACAAACTTGCAAAATGTATCCGAAAACTCTTATTTAGTCTATATTTATTTTACAGGAAGGTCAATGGTTGTGAATCATAGACATGAGAAAGATGAAGTAAGAACTGAACCACAAATCCAAGAAGAGGAGCGCATATGCTCAACCATCAGATTTTGGTGGATTACATTGATCTCAATGGCAAAGTTTTTTCCGAACCACTTCTATAACAAATGTTGATACCCACTTAGATATGTATCATTTATCATTTTGGTTTGCATTTGCTATCTGATCTTCGTTCTTGCTAATCCTCAAACTCCTAACCATGAGCCAATGCATAGTGAATCAAATAATATTAGTCTAACCCAGGCAAAATATAATTGCGGGCAAGAAAATGATCTCATCATCATAATCATAATCAACCATAGCCTTTTCCCTAACTATTTGGGGTAGGCTATATCTATCAAGGGCCATATCCTCAATGAGGTCGTAAGTCCCATATCTTTTCTCACCATTCTCAATCATGTCGTTTTGGGCCTATCCCTTGCCCTTTTTGAGCCTTCCACTTAAACTAACTCGCACCTCCTAACAAGTGCCGTACTGGGTCTATTCTGCACGGCCAGCCCACCGAAATCTACTTTCTCTCATCTTATCGCCTACAGGTACTACACATAAGTTCTTCCGAATGTATTCATTTTGAATGTTATCCGTAAACAAGAAAATGATATTGTAATGAATATAGATGCTTATTCATATGTGTATGGTGCACTATATTACTAAAAAAAAAAAAGGACCGAGAAAGAAAGAAAGGTCATTGGCAACCGATAGTTGAAGTGATCACATTTTACACCACCAACAATCCCATAGTATTCCTTAGGCATTATCCTGAGAATAATCAGGAATTTTTCCACTTGCTATGTAATTTCCACTGTGAATATGACGAGTGAAGATACTACCAATACCATCAAAACCTATATGATACTACAACCAATCACAAATAGCAGTGCCAAATGCAAAGTTTTGAGAACTTACATAATATACAGTCATAATGAAGACAAGACAAGTATTACAATAACACGTGCGTATGAAGGAAACTCTCTCTCAAGAGTAAATCTAGGGAGAAAGAGAGAGAGAGAGAGAGAGAGAGAGAGAGAGAGTCAAGAATACTTCACATACCGGAACCATGAAAACGATACGGACAATATATCTCTGATATGTGGGTTCTGTGTAATTCAAAAGGTGCCTGTATATATGCAGCATTGCTAAACAAATTGATCCAATCGTACAAGGGAATGCGATGACGACAAAGTAAAGTGGCCCCATTTGATTCCTCAGTAAATCATTCACCAATGTTCTAAAAGTAAGAAACACATTAAGGCAAATAAACACATCAAACCCCAAAATAAAAGTCAAAATAACAATAAACTGTTTAATTTCAGCAGAGAACGAGTCTCAAAATTACAAAACTCTTGAGAATAAGGATAAAAAATTAACTTACACCCACCTAAATAGAAGCCGAGTGCTTTCTTAAAATAAGAATATCCCCAATTTTGCAGAATGTTTCCCTTTCTCTTGAATATTCTCAGTAAAAACCAACACATCAAACCAAGGAGGCCTTCAGTTTAAACGAAAAACCACAGCCTCCTAAAATATCCACTGTGCAAATGAACTACAAACCCTCAATCTCCATCGCATCCAACCAAATACTTTCCCCTTCAGACCTCACCCAAACAAATGATCTAACATAAGGTCATTTAATAACAAAATTAACTCTCAGCAGTTCCCAATTCCATGAAAATTGCAGTACTCTTAAAGATTCAACGAAAATCCTAGATGACGTATCATTCAAGACTGGAAAACCAAAACACCAGAGTTTTTCACAATCCGCGTGAAATAACAATCAACGAAACTTAGGTAAGAAGATACTCCATTTCAGAACCCCATAAATCCTAGCCCTTACAGTAGAACCAGACGCTCATGCACCATTCCACAACAGAAGCAGCAGACAAAGATCCCACTCGAAACGAACGCCACTTGCAATTCTGAAGAAAGAAAAAGAGAAAGTGAACGAGAATGAGAATACTCTAAAACGAAACCCTAGAAAATGTGATTCATGCGAATGCAGATCCCTCTCAATAAGACGGCAACCAAAAGGCAGATGATGGATAAGAGATGGAGGCTTTGAAAAGTTGAAGGAGGTGGGTCGTAGGCGCACCGATCGCGAAATGGATATGAAAGAAACAAAAGAAATTCCGTAAGGATTCACCCCAAAATAAGAAAAAAAATCCCGCAAGCAATGTACCACTAAGCACCCTGGGGCCAATAACGAGAAAACCCTCGATCGTTTCATGAAATATCAGGAGTAGGCGAGTAGCTCCAAATTTCCAGAAATACCAAGAGTGGCCAAATGCCGATTGTGCCCTGGTAAAGTCGGCAATGTTAGGAACGTATATCACGGTACCCTTCACTTTTTCGTTTTATTTTTTTGGCACGAAATTTGAGATAAACTTTCTTAAACATTATGATTCATTTTCTTTTTTTCTTTTTTTTTTTTTTTTGCCAAATGTTGTAAAATCTTATTAATGGGGGAATTACTCATCTGGAACTGCATCATTGGAAATAGAAAAAGAAGATAAAGGAGGACTTTTTTGAGCCAATTTATCGGCCACATCATTTTCCTCTCCATAGATATACTAAAAAGTAATCGACGGCCCAGAAGCCAAATCTATAATCTACAACCAGATAGTTTTCAATTCCCAAAGCCATATCCATAATCTACGACCAGATAGTTTTCAATTCCCATGGGACCTTTTGCTCTCTATTATATCATCTAATAGCATTAAGAGAGTCATCTTCAATGATGCAGGTAAATTCTATATTCTTATTGCTGAAGATCTTAAGGCCATGCAATATTGCAAGCATTTCAGCTTTATTCGCAGTGGCTACTCCAATAGGTCCTGCAAAAGAAAATACAATACTACCATACCAATCTAGAACCACTCACCTGCTTTTTTTGGGTTACCTAAAGAGCTTCCATCAAAATTTAGCTTAAATGCCTCTTGAGGGAGTGAAGCCCAGATACTCCTGTATCGAACAATAGGTGATCCCGAGGTTAAAAGATTTTGAAGATTGATAATTACATCTACTTCTGAGACACCCTTACTTTTTTTAGATACAGCAATCCAACATCAAACCTGATGCTTTATTCTTTCGCACATTCTATTAAAAGTGAGACTCACCCTTTCAAAAGTTATACGATTTCGCTCAATTCCATAATTATCACATAATCACTCCTCTAATAATCTTCCCTGGAGCTATTTCCTTTTTAGGTAGGGCAGGCATTGACAAATGAGTAATGATACCCAACACTGATTGAGGCAAAGGGAGATTCCAACCCAGCATAGAAAAAAGCCACCCCCAAATTCTATGAGCAAAAGTACAATGCAAAAACAAATGGTCTCTAGATTCAGTATCTACTTTGTACATTAAGCAAACATTGGGAAGGATTTTGCCCTAGTTTATCTAGTTGTCAATTGTGAGTATCTTATCCTGCGCAGCTAACCATATAAAAATATGTACATTGTAGGGAATGGGCCATTTCCATATAGATGTAACATCGGATAAGGACCATTTCCATCTATCATGAAAGAGAAGCCTATAACATGATTTCACCAAAAAAATACCATCATTTGAATGTCCCTAGATTATCTCATCTTCCGAATTAATAGGAATTTAAACTTTATTTAAAATTTCCAACAGAGAACTGAGTTGTTGAATCAACACATCACTCATTCTACTATAAAGAAATGTTATATTCCAGTTCACCGAACTCCCAACCCCTTCATAAACATCAATAAGCTTAACATTCTGATCCACTACTTTATCAAATATCTCCGGAAATTCCAATTTTAGTGGCCAATCCCTAACCATTTTTTATGTCAGATAGGGATTTGGCTACCATTACCTATCATCCACCTAAAATCCCTGGCAATCAGAGCTTTGCAATGGTAGATGGACTTCTAGAAAGATGAAACTTCTCTTCCCCTACCATTCCCTAACCACATTCCGAACTTATCAGTTCCATATTTCGTGGCCAGTACTTTGTACCACATATGATCTTTAAAAAAAAAGTTACGCCGCCACCACTTACATAAGAGGGTTTCGTTAACCAAATTGATATTCCTTATCCCCAACCCACCCTCACTTTTAGGGGTACAAACTGAAAGAAAGGCTAATGCGCTATTGTCGAGAAATGTATTTTTTTGTTTCTCTTCTTTTTACCCATTTATTTTTTTTTGGCAAATATCACTTACAAGTAGTCTTATTACAATAATTCTTGCTTCAAAGAAAATAAAACTAACAAATCCAATATCTTAACAACTTGATGTCATTGAAACAACTATGTACTATGCTTTAGAATAAAAGATAAGATTGCAATAAACAAAATGAAAAGTGCCGGAGATTATCTCAACCGGGCTTATTACACCTCACACCGAGTCACCACCATCCGATGGTGCAGGATCAACAGTCTAGCTTCAATCTCGAATTGGGAAAGCAAATTTTGAACAAGCCACACCAATGGAACATGGAACCCTTTGATCACAAACTCAAATCCTATATGAATTCCCTTAGCAATCTAGTTTGAGAGAGATTTATTCTCTTTTTGCTAAACCCAAAAATCCTTAGTCATAAATCCATAGTTGAGAGATAAGAGAGAGAAGAACTCCATAACCTAAACCCTTAGGTTCTTTCACAATGTGAGAGAGAGATCAAACATGAGATAGATAAAATTTCTTAAGAGAGAGATAGAAAGATAAGGTGTAGAGATTTTGGATAGAGATAATCCTTTTTTTATAGGCTTGAACAAGATTAGGGTTTTTTAGGGTTTTTCTTGGCTTGCATCTTCTCGTGAGATTGAATATGGACCATCGATCAAGAGTAACTTGTGATGAGAGAGATCTGAGCCATCCATTCCATAGATGAGTCATCAACATTATGGAAAGTACATGAACCATTATCCTCATTTCTTTAACCATTTTCCCATCAATAGAATTAGATAAATTAAATCTACTTAAAATATTATGCTTTCCATAATCTTTCAAAAAATATTCTAAAGATATATCAAGTCAATAGATACTTTCAATATTTGGTCAATATATGGTCAAAATATTCCATATCTTATTTCACCACATGCCATTACCAAAATATGAAATAACTTAAACTCCAATAAAGAATCCAATGGGTGGGGGTGCCACCCATGTGTGGCACATGTGGGCCCCACCCACTTGACACATGGTGGACTTATATGCACTATAGGCCCCTCCATGATATTTTATATAATCTTAAATTAACAAAATAATTTATAAAACATTATTTGAATTTTATACCTTTGTAAAAACAATAACTTTATTTTTTATAAGTCAAAAAATTATAAATAAAATATCAAAAGACTCATAAAAATTCAAATAATAATTCTAAAATAATTTTCATCATAAAACAAATATAATTAAATTAATATTATGAGAAATGGATCCATATGGTTTAGGAATTGAATTAATAATCATGGGGCACTCCACCGTCAACTATGGACTACGGACCACACTTGCTTTATCAAACCGACCCAGCATTTTTCATGACCCACAGTCCAAGCATGGACTCATTAGCGGATCACCAAAGTCTGGTCGATGAGCCAAGGGGTCGCAATCCCAGTATGTAGATTTTAGGTCCTTCCCTAGAGAACCAAAATCTTATGCGACCACAGCTCTATGGCGCATGGGGGTATCTCTTGCACATGCATATGCTTCACCCTAAAAGGTGGATATCTGGCTTTTCCGAAAGATCTATCGATATGCATGCCGTGTGATGGATCATTGATGAGGTTTTGGCCTCCATCTCTGTAGGCCCACCATCACACACAAGGGTCACACAGTCTCTCTGCTTATTCATCCAGACATAAACTCCGACCTCATCAAGGGATAACTCAAAACCCTTCTCGGTTGCCCAGATACCTTGGGTTTTCCAACCGACTGGTTTAGATCGTCAAGCACAATTCGATATCAGCAAACATCGTTTGCTTAGTATGGTCCACGAGGGACCAAACTCCCACTAAATTCATGTTTCACTATATTATTTTATTTCACAAGCACTCATAAGCTTTATCCATCTTAAAAGATGATACTGATTCTCAAACCCATTCGTACCCCATAAAAACTCCTCATCATTTTCTCAATTATTTCAGCGATGGATTGAAGCATCTACAATATAGACATCTGATAGATGGGTAAGTTGGATAAGCATAATTGCAACAGGGTTGCTCGTCCCCCCAAAAATAGGTATTTCGGTTTCCAAATATCCAATTTGAATTGAATTCTTTGAAGAACATTATCCCAAACATAAATTGTCAACCTTTTATTGGATATAGACATGCCAAGATACCATATAGGGAACTGATCCACCTTATATCTAGTTGCCTCTGCTAGCTCTTGGATTAACACCTCATCACAATTGATGCCAATAAGTGAGGTCTTATTGAAATTAACTTTCACCCTTAGGGCCACCTCACAACATTAAAAAAAAATGACAATGTTATGATTCATTTTCATAAATGGAAAATTGTTTCATGCAGGTTGGACCGCATTTTTACAATACACAGTCTCAAAGTATAAAGCATCCATCTTAAATATAGATGCAAACAAGTGGTCCATCCAAAAACAATTAAAACTAATTGTCCAAATGTTTACTTGATAATATTATTATTTGTACTTTTCAAAATTTATCTATTTTTGCATATTCATGATCTCCATGTTAGAAATTACACGACCTTAATAATTAAGTGCAAAATTCCATCTAAAAAATAGATCTTTAAGAGCGGACTCATTCAAATAGATCTTTAAGAGGTGACTCATTCCATGGACTGAAACGGTGTCCTAAATAAATGGATGAGTTTGTATGAGTCAGCCGACTCAAACTATACATATGGGGCTCCCTCTCAAATCTATCTTATTGATAGATTTTAATTCTAAAATTTTAAGGATTCACGATCTAGGTTAAGCTAACCATAAAAATATAAAATAATAAATTTAAATATTTAAAAGATGATTTTTGAATGGAAAAATTCTATACCTTATGTATCCCTTTTTAGTTTGGGACTATTTTTACAATGTGACATTTGTAAATAAATTTGTTCTCATTTATTGGATTTCACTTCTAATTGTTAAAAATAATCATGACTTCTTTCTATAAAAAATAAATGGTCTTATAGTGTACAATCCTAAAAATGTATATAATATGACTATTTACTTTTGCTATAAGGACACTACAATCACGATTGATTGTTAGATTGAAATCGGGTGTC